AGTCGATCACTTAATCGGTCAACTGCGGCAATCCTGCTTCTTAGGCTTTCTGAGACAGCTATACCTACTCTATGCGACTGCTGCTTATGCCATTATAGAGAAGCTTATAGCCATCTCCGATATCGCATTTTCCACCCTTCCATTTTGTCTCCTGTATGCAGGCTATATCACTCGCCGTCTTCTCAAGAGATCCGCCGATTCTCGATGCCGTCCAGTGAGGACTCCGACACTGATGGTAGCTAATCAGAGTGCTTCTGAGTTTTCGGATAATTGCCTGCGAAGAACTAGCTCTCTTACCCGTCTCCGCTCTTTGTAAGACGGTGGCCCTAGCCCACTATTCGCACCCGTCGAGCTCGAGCGCGCGTCGCTTCCGGGGGACGCCCTAGCTTCTACTCGATATACTTTATTTTGCGTTAATTCATTCCGATGCGACGGGGTGTTTCTCAGCCGGCTTGTCGCGCAGCCTGAGGGTGGGCCTGACGCTGGAATCGTAGGCAAGGATTATGTCCCAATGAGAAATCGAACCCGTGACCTCACCGAAATGAGATCCTGGAACAGTAGAGCACTAATCATTCGGCTGACTCTGCCTTTATATCTGGTCAAAATTCAAGCGATAAATATTGACGCTGATTCTGAATTTGTCTTCTATATATGAGAGAGGAATTCGTCGCTGCTACGAATGAACTCGTGCCATTCCCGGATTCATGCAAATTTTTACCAATCTTGCATATAAACCCCTCCCGAAAACAGTTCATTTATTCACTGACGTGTGCCTGTCTGTGTTCCTGGTCGCTTTCTTGAAAATCATAAGATGAGGTGTCTTTCATAGGCTTCCTCATCTTGTTCACCTAGTGATAACAAACTTTTGGAGAGTGCATTTCTTCGTTCCTCACTTCTCAGGCCTAATGAAGGCAGAGAAGCCGAAACGTAACCCTAATAAAGCTTTGTATCAGCCTTGGGTAACGGCTCAACACTCAAAAAATTATATGTCAAGCGTTTCTTACGAAGTTGTGGATATTTTTCCTCTAGAAAATGTTGCTGCTGCTGATGCTAAGAAATTAGGCTAAAATGCTAGCCGTATACGCTATTTCCGCAGAGAAATTTTCTTATAATCCCCTCCAGAAAAGGCTTAACAGATATGAAAGCATGTGTAATCAGCGTTGCCAACTGTACCTAACAATATGTATCTCTTCTTTAATAGCCACCGATTAGGTATTTCCTTTGTCAATTAGTGCCAGGTAATCTTTTGGTGTTTTTTGAACAGCTTTTACTAACAGATCATAACAAATTTTCTACATTTTCAATTAAAGGTCTTTTGTCAATCAATGGGAAGTTTGCTATGGTTCCATCTACCGTATTGCTCGCCAAAATAGTGACCCAGAAATGAGCGTAAGAAAATAGCCAGCTCTAGTCATTCATTCTTCATTATCCACCTCAGACTCTTTTTTATGTATCTTTACTCTTTAGGTAAAGGTGGGAGCAGGAGTTCGTGCTTGGCTAGGCGCTTACGCTTCCGTGAAGACTCTTCAGGATTCAAGCCCTGCACTTGCTTTTGGATGTTAGTTAAATTTTCAAACATTATCGTTTTCCCATTTAAATTAGTATGCATTAATAGCCATTTTCTATGGGTGCAGTGATCTAATCTTCGTTCAATGTATTTACCATGCACTCCAGTTTGTTATGGTGGGATATAAGTTAACCGACATGTACTGGGTTTGATGAAAGATTGCGCGCAGGTTCTGAACAGACAAATTGGACGCTTAGAACAGGGACAACTTATAAAATAGTATCGCATGAGCTCATTCTATGTCACGAAAAGTTTTCAAAGTTTGCCTTATAATTAATCACGTTGGCGGATCCATCGATCGAATAGTGTGGTTTCTTAGCAGAGTTATGAGCGAGTTACCAAGAAAAGCACCATCGCATATGTTTGACAGTCGTCGTGTGAAGAATTCACTAATTCAATTACTCAAGAATCAAAATGTATAAATTTCTCAACAGAAGTACTGATAATATTTTTTTACATCCTTATCATTACCTTGTTGTTGATAATGTACTGTCCAGATCAAGGTAAGCAGGGTTTTGAGGTGATTGTCTTTAGTATCTGTATTAAGCTGTTATTGTCTTTAGTAAATGAAATCTCGTTTCGTTTACGTTATGTATCAAGTAGGTTATCAGCAAAAATTGATCAATTCCGAGGATTTAGTGCAGAGTTTAATTTTTTTTCTCAAAATATCTATGTATTAATGTAAAATGTTTTCAGTGGTTAATCGCTTATACTATGAGATCGAAATGGATATAATCACTTTTTATTGCGATGTTCTTGAAGAGGCAAGGATTTTTTTTTGTTCTGCTCTTACTTTCCGTTTTAGCATATTTTTCAGTTAGGTCTCTTTCATGGAAACGAAAATCGGACAGAGCTCTTGAGAAACATGGGGATGAGCGCTCAGCAGAGGAAGCGTATGACAGAGAGATTGAACGGTGTCCGCTTAATGAGCAAGAAGTTTTTGACATGGGACAGGTGATTTTTTTCAAACCCTCAGAAAGCTCACAAGCTGCACAAATAAACAAAATCCTGATTTTTCATTCTGAATCATACGTACCGAACGTACAAGTAGAGTCGAAATCGAGCAGATGGCTTATATCAGTTTTACTACCATGGTACTGAAAATGTTCA